GAGGAGGAGGAGGAGGAAGAAGAAGAAGAAGAAGAGAAGTAGGAGGAGGAGGAAGAGGAGAAAAGAGGAGGAGGAGGCAAAGAAAAGAGCAAGAAGAAGAGGAGGAGGAGGAGGAGGAGGAAACAACAGGAGGAGGAGGGGGGTCGGTTCTTCGATGTGCAGCTATGGCTGCGGGGGGTCGGTTCTCCCAACAACACATAAGAAGAAGAAGAAGAAGAAGAAGAAGAAATAATAATAATAATAATAAGAAGAAGAATGTACGTAAAAAAAAAAAAACCTACAACGAACGTACTCACTGCCGTCGATGGAGCAAGGGGGCAAGTTTTTGGACGTGAAGCGATGGCTGTGGGGGGGGCGGTGCTTCCACGCGCAACGATGGCTGCAGGGGGGCAGCTGCATGAACGCGCGGCGTCAACGTCGAACAGCACGACGTCGCTACATGACCCGACGTCGAAGGCCTATGGGGAGTGGGGAGTACACCTACGGGGACTGACGACTACACCTACGGGGAGTGAGGCCAACGGGGAGTGGGGACTACCGCTTTTGCACTACTTGGGAGCGATTTCAAAGGCGGCTGATTGCGGCCGCCGATCTCCCAGATCGGTGGCCGCAATCGGCCACGTTTGAACTTCGAAGTTCAAAAAAACGGGGCCCGTCCGACCCCACAAATTCAAGTAAGCGCGCAGGGATTTGTCGGCGCGTTTACATCATATTGCGGGGTCCGACGGGCCCCAGTTCTTCGTTTCAGTGGTGGTGGCGGCCTGTGGCCAAGGAGGCAGGCGAACGGGGAAAAAAAAAAACCCGAAATCGACCCCCAGCGAAATGCGCTGGGGCCAACCGGGTGCCTGCCGGGCCGGTCTGCCGGCCGGTCCGACCGGCAGGGACCCGGCCGTGCGAGGGGCCCCCGGTCCATCCGGGGACCAGGCCTGGTCTACACTGAACCACCACCACCCAGTCTGTGAGAATGACCTGCTTGATTGAGAATACAGCTCATACCACAGGAAAGCTCATTTTTGCTCCCCTTCACAGAATATTGTTCCTTGCCTGCCAAAACAATAACAAAGCTGCACCAGCAACTGCCTCAGCACGACAAAATGCATCAATTTCTTTCTTTCTCTCTTTTTTTTTTTGTATCTGGGGAACATCAGTTCGGCTCCAATCAACCAGTAAGCTGAATAGAGGGAGAGACACAATTAAATCCACTCCAAGCTTCCTTCCGATCACGCCAAAGGACCCCTGACTAGCATTGATTGCTCGCTGGGGAAGGACTAACTGTCGGACAGCCTGTGGTTCTATAGTTCCTCTCAGTCTCAACAAGTGCTGGGGCTGTCGTAATGACCTGTCATGGGATGGCTATTAGCACCTGCTAGGTCCCCGCACCCCCGCCTGCCAGTCTGTCGATTGTCATTAACAATTGACCCTTGCCAATTCCGCCATCTCAGCCTGTCATCCTCCTCTATCATGGCGGTCTTTCCCCTCAGCAGCCAATCTTTGGAGACGGCTCTGTTCTTAGTCGTGAGCTTCTCTGGTTTGCTTTTAACTGATCATTTGATAGTATCGGTACCTCTCCACCCACACCAGATTTCGGTCTCCACCATCCGCGATCAGTGACAACCAGGCTTACTCCCTCGTTGTAGAGACTCCGTCGACAGTATGAGCGCACCTTCTTTCCCATATGGTCCACAGTGCCGCCTTCGAGGGATTTAGGGAGGTTAGTGGCCAGCATAATGGAGGTTGGCGGGGTAGAGGGAGGGTCGCCAAGGCATTCTTGACCCTGTTCCATATCCAGATCGCTTCAGTGCATTTTAGCAGGCAGTGGATTATGACCTCTGGGATCTTGTCCTTGGACGTCAAGCAGATGTCAGTACTAGTGGGGTCTGAGTGTTTCCTTTTTCTTGTGAAGCAACTGGTTGACCGGTGGTGCAGCATAGTCAATCCGCCACGCTAGGCTGCAACTTTTGTGGGTTTGTAATATTGGTATTTTGTCCATGGTATCTCGGTTTTGAGGCTCGCGTCTAACTTGAGAGGAAAAGGGGAAAAAAAAATTCTGATTTTTAGAGTGCCCCAATTTCCGATTTGCAGAACTCTCAACGAAATGACTTTTGGGAAGCTTCCGCCATTCTCCTCCTCTCCTTCCACAAGAACTCCTTGACCAAGCACAGCTTACTCCAGGGTCGAAATAGAGGCTATAAAAATCAGAGAGGTAGCAACCCTTCTCTAAAAAAACTCGGGAACAGTAGCCTGTCGCGGTCGGTGCCACCCAGGGTTTCAAGTCTACCGTTCTTGGCTCAGCTCCGTCTATTGGTGGGGAGCATCACCTGCTGGCAAATGGAGCCACCGACCTGTCTTTCATATACAAACTCAGGCTGCATTGATCACTTCTCGACAGAGAGCTATACCTATGACATTGCATCATACTTGTGGTGCACGATACACGGACTGGTGCTGCAAAGAAAAGGAACAGAGCCGTGTGTGTATGTGTGTGGATGAGAGAGAGAGAGAGAGAGAGAGAGAGAGAGAGAGAGAGAGAGAGAGAGAGAGAGAGAGAGAGAGAGAGAGAGAGAGAGGGGCCAGTTCCTGAGTCCTGAGCGTTGTAGGCACCCTTATCACGACTTTTTCTGACCGTCACCTCTATACAATCGAGGGGATTTTTTCCAGTGGCCGTTCTCTCTCTCTCTCTCTCTCTCTCTCTCTCTCTCTCTCTCTCTCTCTCTCTCTTCGCTCCCCTCCTGACCTCGAAACGATGTATATCATCATAGAGAACTGCCCGATGAACGGTAGGCAGGAAGAGAGAAAAGGACAAGGAATGGGGGCCTGTGACAGATTATTCGTCGAAGTTTCACCGAGTCATCAGCACGTTGAACCATTACGGATTCGTATATCTATGTACACATCAATCTAATTAGAGAACTCGTTCCTGCCACGTGGATTACGCCGCGATGACCATCGGCTGGCCATCCAGCGCACTCCGTACGTATCGGGTCCACATGCAGACTCCATCCATCTCCACCACCCCGCAGACGACACGTGTCACCCCGGCCCCATCTGCAGGAAATGACACGTGGCAATGCTACGCAGTGCTCCTCACATCACCACTTGGATCGGCCGCACAGGGCGAGCACACCTATGCTTACCTCCCCCCTCCCCCTGCCACTTTCCCATCTGACATTTGGTTGCGCTTTCCCGCCAAAATTTAGGATAGGCATCTCCCGCCATGAACCCGTCTGAGGATCACTTGAACGGAACACGTGCGAATGCCACGTGGCATTGATTGCCCCATGTCACCCTGCATTGGTCGATGGCTTAATTAATCGACCATCGATCATCGATCATCGGTCATCGATCGAAGCACGGCAAAGATCATCGACGACCCTATTGGACGCTGTACCGAGGGTGACTTTGCCTAATTGCCCTCATGACGAGGACGATTGGAAGCACCAACGATGATGGGTGGAATTTCTCAGGGGCCATCGTCCATCCGTCGCACGGATCGCTAACGGTAATTTTCCTACTCCAGCCTACCCTTCTTCCCCCGGGGCAAGGTCCCACTTGCATGGATTAAGAGATTCTGGCCGTTGATCTTTGCTATCTACGGTCAATATCGCTTAATTCGTGTAAGTGGGACCAAGCCCCAGAATAGAATTCCTTCTCCAGACTACCACTCTTCCCCCGAATAGAACGAACGGTCATTTCTGCCGCATGACCACGTTCTGCGGAAAAATGCAGTGGCACGCAGCGGTGTGCTGGTTTTTTTTTTTTTTCAGCGGTGTGCTGTCAGAAGCGAGCTAAATACCTTTCTCGGCCTTTTGGCTAAGATCAAGTGCAATGTATCTGTTCTGATCAGTTCAATATCTGATCCGTGGTCCATCGGGCCACATGATATTAAGCCACCAGTACCTGGCCCAGCTATCGAGTCCAAGCCTCGGCCGACCGGCACGCCGACCCGTGCCGAGGCTCGGACTACCGGGCGCAGGTATCCCGAACGTCGGAGTGAACGAACAAAAAAAACGGAAAAAAAAACGAAAAAAAAAACGAAAAAAATAAACGAAAAAAAGTATGGCAGTGTATAGTCCCACGCTATAGCACCAGATTCATTCGATTTTGCTCATCCTATGGAGGGCGCAGTACCAAGAGGCCAGCCGCGCGCACATGCGCGCGCGCGCGAGAGAGAGAGAGAGAGAGAGAGAGAGAGGCAGCGACCTGCACGGAGGGTCGCGGCGAACTCGCCGGCCCTCTCTCTCTCTCTCTCTCTCTCTCTCTCTCTCTCTCTCTCTCACACACACACACACACACACACACACTCACACAAAAACAAGTATGGCAGTGTATATTCCCACGCTATAGCGCCAGATTCATTCGATTTGGTCATCCTAGCAAGGGGGCAGTACCATGAGGCCAGCCGCGACGAGAGAGAGAGAGAGAGAGAGAGAGAGAGAGAGAGAGAGAGAGAGCTCNTTTGCCTCGCCCATTCTGTTTTTTTCTTCCTCCCTACGCTGATGCATTCCACAACCCCTCCACTTTCCCCCCCCCAGGTAGTAGGCTAGTAGCGGATACCCTACTTCTGCCCAATGTGCCGCACTTGATGCGTGCGTATTGTGCACTGTCCGCTTTGCGGTGGTCATGCGTGATTGGCGCGCATGCAGTGCGGTGCATGTATACACTATGTGGATGAGTTCGGAACAAGGCAGATATTGACTGACAACACTTTCAAAAAGTTCAAAATGCCTCAAGAGTGGAAAGTTTGAAACATACATACCCTGTGTGGAGACCTTCACAAGGTGTCACAACCCAGAAGTCCTCCCCAACAATTGGATAAAGGTCCTTGCAGTCTTTGGCTGCAATGATCTGAAAGGCAGTGAAAGCACCAAAACATGCTTTGCTCATAAAACAAAAGTACAGGATGATCCGGTCATCATTCAGCAGGCTCTGCAAAAAGTTGCAAACTCCATTGGCAAAATGTCTATGGTATATTTGTGGCTCACATGTGGGCATGATGCACTGTGCATTGCTGGGTGTGCCAAACAGTGCTGCAGGAACAAAAAGACACGATGAGATGAAAGGAACTTGAGAAAGAGAGAAGAGGGTATGGAAAACCAAAAAAAAATGTGGTGTGCGGCAACGCCTGCTCAGTCCCACATCAGTGCGATGAGAGGCTGGTACAGCTTCGTTCTCGCACCAATGCGGTGGTGCAGACCTACCTCGTGGGTTTGGGAGAGGTCTGGGTTCGTGGGTGTTCCCGGGTACTGTTCATGCAGTCGAGAGATAAAGAGATGAGAAAATGAAAAAGAGAAGTAAAGAGACAAGAAAATGAAAAAGAGAAGTGATGAATGAAATTTAAAATTTTAAAAATCCAAAAAGAATTCAGAAAAAATGCAGGCAGTCCAGACTGGCTCTGGCTGCCCAGATACCTACCCGGGCAGGTCCATCCTGCTGCGGACCATGCAGGGTCAATGGCAGTCCCAGTGTGAAACACTCAAAAGGAAAAAACTTCAAAAACGAACATAAATATATAAGATAACTTTCTGAGCGCCCAGGCTGCCTCTAGCTGCCCTGACTGCCTGGCTAGGCAAGGTCCCAGAGAAGGTTCCTGCCCGGTACCGGGCAGCCCCAGTGCAGAAAACTTTCAAAGAATGCAAGGAACCAGCAAGTGGGAACACAAAAATTTCGAGATGCAAGAGTTCATTGAAAACTTGAAAAGTTTTTTTTTTTTTTTTTTTTTGAAGGAAACGTTCGAACAACACCTCGTAGAGGGTGGTCAGCTGGGGTGGTATGAGCACCTCCAGGTACTACCCCGACGCCCGTGGCTCTGATCTTATTGGCGGGGAGCAACACCTTCTGGAAAACGGGTCCAGTGTCCCGATCTCATTGGGAACCGCTCATACGTAAGCCAAGTTGAAAGCAGAATGACAAAGCCGAGAGCACACCAATCCAAGAACACGCTGAGCAGTCAAGTCTCTTGACAATGAAAGCCCTCTTCGCGCCTCCAACAATCAATACAACAACAGGGTAGTAGCCCTAGCTATGATATGTCTGCCTATGCCACTCTCCTACTCAGCCTACCACGCTAGCCTACTGCCTCTCACTTCTCTCTCTGGAGTCTGAACTCTTCTCTCGCCACATGCCGCTGAAGAGTCTGATCACATAGCCACTCCTCGGCGAACACCAGGTAAGTATTTGCCAATTCCCACAGCTGCTGGCCTTCTTGGAAGGGGAAAAGGAGAAGTGACATAAGCTTCGAATGGAAGCCCCAGTAAACGGCGGCAGTAACTCTAACTGTCAACTTTAGGGCAGTTATAAAATCTGGCTATATGCTGGAACACTCACAATCCTTACATACACTACACCCACCACCTCTTCCCTCCACCGTGCCACCCACCAGCTATGATGCACATGCACACATCTATTGCACGCTGCTCTGCCTGGTGTGGGCACTTCCACTCTGTTCTCTGCCAGCACTCACACCAGATATGGACCGCTTCCCATGTGCATATGCCTGGCCTCCTCTTTGATATCGCCTGAGGCCAGGATCTGGGCCTCCAGTAGGCACTCCCTACTGGCATGGTTCCCAACCCAGGTACCTGCCCATCCGCTATCCCGATAGGGCCTACCGGGTAGTTACTTGGGCTGGGCTCCAAACCGGGGCCCATTAGCTTCTCAGGTGAGACCTTCTCTTAGGGCCGCTTGCCTTGCCTTGGCCAGCCTTTTCTGAGGTCTGGAGCCTCACAATAATAATAAAAAATCTGGAAAAACAAAGGTTCATTAGAATTGCAATGCAAGCCACTTTTGGCTGAGGGTCACCTCAGAATTCCTTATTAAATCAACGATGAAAAAGGAAATCTAAAAAATCAAACCAAGGCACCCCCGCTTAAAGTTTAAACTCGTTTAAGCCTTTAAAGCTTAAACCCCATTTATACCCCACTTCCTCCTACACCCCCCCAACCTCCCCACGCGACTGACAATACTGAAAAACCGAAACGAGCTGGGATTTGGGCTGCTTTAGATGGGTGCAGAAACGCCCATGAAAAAATGATTCCCAAACTTTTTACATGCCTGGATTGACCAGGGTGGGAGACCCCCTGAGCGAGTCCCCTGGGCACCAAGCCAGGTGCCATAATGCTTTTTGCTTTTTGCTTTTTTTCATAAAACAGGTCCTTATGGCCCTGGCTCCATTTCCATTCTGGGGAGCATCAGTCCAGTTCCTATTCCACTGGCAAGTCAGAATAAAATATTACATCATGAAACACACTCACGCTTCCTTCCGTCTGGCCGAAGGAACCCTGACCAGCGTTGATTACTCCAGCCTAGGAAAATATTCAAAAAAATCCCCCCCAAAATGGAAGATGTTAAAATGATGAATAAGCCCCTCGTTTACGGGAAAATTGCGTGTAAGCCCACAAAAAGCGCCCCTTCAGAAATAAGTTCAAAAGTCCACTGTGGAGCCCTGCGGAACGGTGAATAAGTTCAGTGAGGTGTACCACGAACGTGCCATTTAAAATGTTTTCTCCACCGACATGTGCCCCGTAAGGCACCCCAAACTGGCAACTAAATCCTTCTGGTTGGGGAAAGGGGCGCTATGGAGCCTGCTCTCTCTCTCTCTCTCTCTCTCTCTCTCTCTCTCTCTCTCTCTCTCTCTCTCTCTCTCTCTCTCC